GGCAGTGTGTGCCTTTGCCCGCGCCTTTGATCTGGGCGTGCGGCTGATTGATTATGGAGCGTCTCCGCCACCGCACCCGTCACCACCAGCCGCACCCTGAGGGCAGCCAGCCACACGCCATCTGCTTTGTGTCCCTTTCGGTCCCGGGGGAGGGAACAAAACAAAGCGTTTTGGGGGAACTTCAAAGGTGCACTTTAGTAATCAGAAGAAGTTTCCAAGTTTCCCATTAATGTCCTGTGTGTGGTTTGGACTTCAATAGGTCGGAAGGGAGCGGGGGCGAGCGGGCGGGCCTCATGGGCCGGGATGGTCTGCAGCCTGGCGGCTCTGCCTTTGATGTCAGGACGGTAATTATTCGAAGGTCGTTTTACTGTGATCAGAGCCGGGCCCAGGGGCTGAGCCGGCGGCACCCCCTGGCCTGTCCTTTGAAGTCCCTGCCCCCCACACCCCCCTCCGAGGCCAGCCCTGACCCGGGCAGGCATGGCCGCCTTGCAGCCGCGCACGCGAGCTGCTCATGGGTCAAAGGCGTCTGCCCTGTGTCACTCTCGAGATGGGGTCTCGGGGGCTCCCTTGGCACCAGGCACCCCCGTCACATGGGCAGGGCTCAACCTCACCCCCATCGCCCTCCACTCACCCCCGCTAAGCATCAGGAGTCGGAAGGAGTGGTGTGTGTGCCAAGGGTGGGCAGGGGGTGCCACGGGGTGTGCAGGAGGGAGGGCGGTGCCCACCCCTGGTGGGCTGTCACGTCATCCTGGGGGCTGGTGTCTCTGGAGAGTTTAGGCCTCGTGGTTGAGGACCCCTGGCTGTCTGCTACTCCTCCTCTGCTTGGGGACTCCCCTGTGACATCCCTCCGTGGCGCTGGCCCCCTTGGCCAGACTACAGTGTGGGCCAGGGTGGACAGCAGCTGTGCTGGTGGGTGTCTGTGGGTGCCGGGGGCACTGCTGCGCTGGCGGGTGTCTGGGGGTGCCCCGGGCACTGCTGCGCTGGCCGTGTCTGTGGGTGCCCCGGGCACTGGGCAGCAGCTGGGGCGCGGGTGTGACAGCAACGTGGTAGCTGGGGGGCTGACCCAGGTGTCCTGGAATACCCCAGAGCACCCCTGCAGCAGTGCCAGGCAGCTTCCTGCCACATGAGGCTTGGGGGAGGCCTGGGTCGCCGGAGCCTTGATTGCTGTCTAGCCCGAGTCCCACCTGTCTGGGCTGAGGGGCTCTGTTGGGACTGTTCCGGGAACTTTGATCTCATGTGCTGTCCCCATCTCCGTGTTCACTGACCTTGGGGAATGGAATCCTTCCCAGGCTGCCCGGGGTTAGCTCCCTGGGCGGGCAGACCCTGTGGGGCCAGGCTCCATGCCCTTGTTTGCTTGTCCCCTCTGGGGGAGTTTACTCTGCACTGTGTCCATGTGGCGCGTAGCTAGCTGAGCTGCAGTGTGTTGGAGACGCTGAGCTTCAAACCAGCAAGGTTTACCCCTGCCGGCCGGAGTTTATTCAGCAGCCTTGTGCCTTTCTGCAAACACTCTTACCACTTCCGTGTTACTAAAGTAACGTTCATCCACGGTGGAGCAGCAGGAGAGTTCAGGTTTTCGTGAGCACGTGGCCCCCTTGTCACGGATCCCCTGTGACCTCCAATGACAGACACAAAGCCCCACATGGTGTCGGCCCTGGTCTTGTCCTTATTCCTCGCTGTGCACCAGAACCTGGCCAAGCTGGTGACACCAGTTCTTGCGGTTTACATTCTGGCCACCCAAAAAGGTGATTAGCAGCAGCGTGTCTGGAGGCTGCAGTGCCGGGCAAGGGGGCAGAGTGCCCCGGCGCCGACCCTGTCCCCCCCGCTCCAGGGTGCCCACCCAACTCTCTAAGTCCTGGGACGCTCCATGGCTCTCGGGGACTGGGTGGCTTCGGGAGCTGACCCTGCGGGAAGATGCTGCACCCCCGGCCCCTCAGGTGTGTGGCTGGTGGAGGGGCAGCAGGTGGCCGAGAACTTAACACCCGCTGCAGGAGGCAAGACTCTGAGACCCGAGAGCGCCGCCGTCCCGGCGGCCTGGCCCTTACGAGGCTGGCCCGTACCCGAGCCCGCTCCTCTGCCCGCGGCCCTGCTCCGCCTCTCCTGCCGCTCCTCTGGGGCTTTGGTGCCTCCCTGTCCGGGCAGCGTGAGTAACGCGGAGGTTTGGCCCAGCCGCTGGTGATTCACTGAAACCCAGTGCCTCGGGGAAGTGACTCACATTTCCTCCTCCCAGAACCACCATTAGAGGGCGGGGCTGGGGAGACGGAAAACAAGAAACCCTCACAGCAAACCCCGGAGAATCTGGAGCTGAAGTCACCTGACATTTTCCCCTGTGTCATCGTGTCCTAGAAAATTCCTTTGGAGAGGAGGAAACGCGGCTGCCGCACGCGCCGTGAGCCTCTGTGAACCGTGTGACCAGGGCTCGTCCACCTGGGCATCTGGAGCCCACGGGGCCTCGCAGCCGCACCGGTGTGGGTGCAGGGACCACTGACAGTACGTGACGCCTCACTGGTTGCACGTGGGGAGGGTCACACCGGCCTCTGCCTGGCCCTCCTGTTGTCCCGGCCGGCATCCATCCGACACGCCCCCCAGACCATGGCTCAGGGCTGGAAGGGGGCCTTCACCTGCTCTCTCCTTCCTCTTGCCTTCTGGTGTCTGTGGTCCTTGCGCCGTCGGAGGCCATGAGGCAGCACAGGATGAAGGTGGCCTGAGAGTCTCCATGTGGCTCTGCATTGGCAGCAAACCACCCCTCAGACCGGGCTTAACATGAGAGGGACCCGCTCAGCAGGGAGAGGGTGCCCTCGGGTCCCGGGCAGGAGAGAGGCCGGCGGCCCTCGGGAGCCCACGGAGCCGGCAGATGCACCTGAGCGCTCAGAACGCTGGTGTCTGCCAAGCCAGAGACAGCAGGACCGGGAAGGGCGGCATGGGGCAGCCGGGTGCGGGTGCAGGCGGAGGAACCCCCGGAGAGGCTGTCTGGGCCGCCCTGGGACAGGAGGGGCACTCTGAAGATGGCTGTGTTCTCAGTGGGCTACTGGTTGGTGCCGGGTCCTGTGTGACAGCAGTGTTGGCATTGAAGACGAGGCCCGTTTGTGGGAGACGCTGCGTGGATGCTCGGGGGCAGATGAGACCTGCAGTTTTCTCTCCGATGGTTCAGGAGAGTGTGCTTGTGTGTCACGGAGTGTGAGACTGTGCTTGACGGCTCCCCGTTCTCGAAGCGGTGCAGGGTGCTTCCGGCTGGCTCCGCCACAGGCACCTGTCCCTTCTCCTGGCGTGCGGTCCACCCGCGGCCCAGATGTCCCTTCAGCCCTCAGATGGGGGTGCCTGACTGCGTCGGCCTGGTGGGCGGTTCTGTCAGTGCTTTCGCACTGGCCTCTGCTCACGGGCGGGGTCGTGCCCCAGGGAATCCACCCCAAGCGGCCCTGTGCGTGGGCTGGGGTCCTTCTTGCACCTGGAAGGAGCGGGTGGCTGCAGGCGGGGCTCAAGGGCAGGTCCCGATCAGAGAGGGATTTTGTTAGATTGTCTTCTGGCCAAAAGTCAGTGGCCCCCCGGGCTGTGAGGGCTGATCTCTCTGGCCTCCCCGTTCTGGAAGTACCTAGAGTGGGCTGTGGGGCCAGGACGTTGGCACTGCCTGGGGTGCCCAGAGGAGGGGTGAGGCCGGAGTGTCTGCATGTGTTGGAGAACGGCACTGCTGTCCTCTGCGAGGCTTGTCCTGGGGTCACTGTATGCCCAAGCTCTCTGGACTCAGTGCCCCTCGGGGCCAGGACAGCACGACCACACGAGGCGCCAACACGCCCATCTGTGTCGGGGTCCTGACCCAAACGCTGTGGACACGGTGGCCCGGCTCAGGCTGCCCGCTGCCCCCACAGCCTGGGCGAGGCCCCGGGCCTCTGGAATGCAGGGCTGTGGCTGTGGGGGGCGGCCTGGCGCCCGGCGCGTTATAAAAAGCTCTGGTGCAGATGGCCCATGGCGGCCGGGACACTTGCGGCTTTGAAAGGCCAGGCAGGCAGCCCGGGCCTCGCCGGCCGCCTGTGGACCCCTGGCTTACTGGCCGGACCAGCCCGTTCCAGACTATGCCCTGGGCTCCGAGGGGCTTCCGGCTGGAGCCCCCGGCTTTACCCAGGGGAACCGGGCGAGGTGAGAGCTGGCCATATGTGGCCACTTCAGGGACCTGCCAGCTGTGGGCCCAAAGGGTGACACGTCCAGGGCTCGGCTGGGGGCACTGACTCCTCCACACATACGTGTGCCCGGGTGATGGGCAGCCCTGGCCGCTCACTCACTGGCTAGCCCACTGTCTCTGAGGCCCGAGGGTGGGCAGGGCCTTCAAGGACACACGGGGATGGTCTGACCTGTGACGCGGGAGAGGCAGCGGCTTGACGTGTGTGGAAGGGAGAGCCTTTTGGGCATCCCCACCCCCTATCAGACTCAGGGTGGGCGGAATCCCAGTCCTAAGGGAGGGGGCGTGGGGGCGGAGCAGGAGCAGAAGGGAGCCCTGTAGCCACCTGCTGCGCTCAGAGCACTCAGGCTGTTCTGTCAAGGGGAGACGGGGCAGAGGGCGCCCCCGTGCCCAGGACGACAGGCTCGGCGCCGTCTCGCCACATAGCCCCTCTGGCTCCTCCTGAAACCACCCCCTAGCAGCCCTGCCTTGTAATTTTCGTTCCCGTTGCTGCCAATTAGGAGTGACACCGTCCCTTCCCGCATCCCCAGGGTGGGCAGAGGGAAGCCTGGTCGCTTCCCCCCACGTGAAGCGCCTGACACAGACAGGCCAGGTGTACTGCCCCGAGTTCGCTCCTGCCTCTGGGGACCGTGACTGCAGGCCGCTCTCTGGACCTCTCGGGGTCCCTCGCTGCTGGGGCCAGGCTGGCCGCTTGGCCACCATCCCAGCCATCTCAGGCCGAGGAGGCAGGAGGGCAGAGGCCCCACTCCTGGAGTGGGGTCCTGGCCAGTGGCCGGGTGGGGGCGTGGCCCTGGCCCGGGTGCCACCATGGGCTGTGCTCTGCCTGGTGCAGCCTGGGGATCGAGAGCCCGTGGTGTGCCACCCGGACCTGGAAGAGCTGCTGCAGGCCTGGCCCGCCGAGCTGCCAGACGAGTTCTTCGAGGTGACTGTGGACGATGTGCGGCAGCGCCTGGCCCAGCTCAAGAGTGAGCGGTGGGTGCCCCTTGGGTCCCCCTACCCAGCCTGCCTTCCTGGGGGTGGGCTCCCATGCCTGTGCCCAAGCACCCCAAGGGTGAGCAGGCCCAGGAGAAGTCCAGGGTCCAGCACGCTGGGCCTCAGCTCTGGCCAGGATCCTGAGACCTCCCCTCCCCTGTGCTGCCAGGAAGCGCCTGGAAGAAGCTCCTTTAGTGACCAGGTCCTACCGCGAGACCCAGATAAAGGAGAAGCTGGAACGCTACCCCAAGGTCAGCAGGTGGTTGGGGCGGCTGAGGTCAGGCTGGCCTAGGTCTGCGATCACCCTCGGGGTTTGTGGGGCTCGTGGGGCTCACAGGGCCCAAAGATGGGGTAGCCGTGAGTCGGGGGCAGACTCGACGACCGTGGGTTTTGTCACGGTAAGTGTCAAGCGTCCTGTAAGTTTCAGAACAAATGCTAGTGTTTTTGAAAACGTAGACAGTGGTCTGCACATGTTGGGTCCTGCCTGTTGCTCGTCCCCAGCCTGTGACGCTGGCCACCATGGGGATGTCAGGACCAGAGGGGTGGCTGGTGCCACCCTGCTCTCCAGCAGGGGGTGGGGTGGGGTCTGGCCACCGGGGGCGGGTGCCGTGCCCCTCCCAGCCCGGGCCTGGCGCTGGCTATCCCTGGTGACGCTCTGCCTGTTCTGCCCAGGTGGCTCTTCGGGTCCTGTTCCCTGACCGCTACATCCTGCAGGGCTTCTTCCGGCCCAGCGAGACAGGTGAGGGCCCGCCCCGGGGGCGCCCCGTGCTCCCACTGACTGGGCTCCAGGGAGACCGGGCGGTTTCGCGGTGGGGCAGGGCAGAGCGTTACGAGGTGGGCAGAGTAGGTCAAGGGGCCGCTTCTGCTCCTGGTATGCCAGGCCCGCCCAGGGAGCTGGGGTTGGCCCTGGGGCACCCTCGTACCTGTGCTGACTTGCGTGCTCGTTCTGGGCGTGGGCTGGCTGAGGGGTACACAGAGGGTACACTGTTGCCCAACAGTGGGGTCTCTGGCCTGGGGCTGCAGCCACTGGAACAGAGGCGCTGAAGACAGGGATGGGCCTGCCGGCAGGGTACCCAGGCTTCTGGGGGCTCTCCTCTTACCTGGGAGCCCCTACCGTGCACAGACGTAGGGTGAGGCAGGCTCCTCGAGTGGGGCAGCTGAGGGAAGAAGCAGGTGGGCTGAGCTCACGGCCAGGTCTAGGGGGTGGGAGGCGAAAGGAGGACCCCAGGCCTGGGAGATGTCTCCGGGAGGGGGTCAGGAGCCTCCTGCATCTGACTGCCTTCCTCTTGGTCCCCAGTGGGGGACCTGCGGGACTTCGTGAGGAGCCACCTGGGGAATCCTGAGCTAAACTTCTACCTGTGTGAGTGCCTTCTGATCCCGCTGCTCCACCTGGCTTCCTCTGCTGACCCCGTCACCCCAGCCCTGGCCCCGCCCACCCCGGCCAGGTCGAGGTGCAGCCTGGCTTTGGGGGCTTGAAGCCGCTTTTCCCAGATGGTGGTCAGGGTGGGTGGCTGTCCCCAGGTGGCTGCAGGGTGTCAGGGCGCCTGGGGCCTGGGGCCTGGGGGAGGGGCAGGACGAGAGGCACCCACTCTCTGCTTTCTCTGGAATCCCTGTTGCCCAGCCTGGCCTCTTTCCCGGGGCCCCCTTGGTTCCGGCAGGGGCAGTGGGCTCCTTCAGTGAATGTCCCAGCCGGGCAATCAACAGCAGGCCTGCAGCCTGGACCCTGCACCCACCTTCCCACCCATGGCTCCCCCATCCCTGCAAGCCCCTCCAGCAGTGAGGGGACAGGGTTCCAGTGGTCCAACGGGTGCGAGGAGGTTCCCCGACACAGACTCGCTTTCTCTCTGCAGTTGTTGCCCCGCCAAAGACCGTCTTGGGTGACAACACACTGACCCTCTTTCAGGTACCTGGACCAGTGCCTTCCTGCAGGCCAAGGGGGTGCTGTCCTGGGCACAGCACTGAGGGAAGGCCTAGAGCCTGTGTGCTGCCTTTAGCCCCTGGGCTGCTTGAGGGTCTGCTCCCTCCAGGGGGAACCCAGGCAGGGGGCCAGGCAGGGGCGGGTGGCAGAAGGGGCTCCTGGCACCACCCGAGCAGTGGATGACAAGCCTTTGAGAGCTCAGTGGGCCGAATAGCAGACTGTCCGCCTCCTCCCCTTCCTGCCTGGCCCTGGGCTGGGGATACCTGGGGCTGCTTGTGGTGGGGGTCTGGGCGGGTGGGGCCGTTCTCCCCTGCTCTCTGTCCCTGCTGGCCTGCCCTCTGTCCCCGGCCGGCCTGCCCTCCGTCCCCCACCAGCCTGCCTGCCAAACCCACTGGTCTCTCCTGCCTGGCACGGGTGCCCTGCTGCCTGCCCGGCTTGGAGAACACGTGCCCTGTTGGGCTGCATCCAAAGCGGAGGAATGTCTGTCCTTCACCCCGTGGGAGTGCAGCCTGCTGTCCCAGCCTTCTGGCCTGATGATTTCTCTCCAAAGTCTCCTGGGATCCCTTAATTAATAACAGGGCCTGGTGTTCTAAGTGGCCGCAGACAGTGGAGGGGAAGGGAGAGGACGGAAGCACAGGCGGGGAGCTCACCCAGGACGGCCTGGGCAGAACAGCCCTGGGGTGAGGGCGCGGGAGGGGAGAGCAGCATGCCCCTGCCAGCCCCTCGGGCCCCCAGGCGCCTCTCCCCCGCCCCCTTCCCCTCCCACCCCCGTTGGTAAACATGGACCTGTGCCACCCGATTCCAGGGGACTGTGCTCCCTGCGACCACAGCCGTCTCTACATCCGCCAGCTCAGGGCAGGCCAGCGTCACCGCCCGCCTGCTGCCGGAGGAGAGCTGGCAGGCCTGAGAGGAGGGGGACCTTCCTCCCTCGGGGTGGGGCTGACCTCCCCCCCTTGATGGCCTCCTGGGGGGCGGGCATCCTCTCTCTGCTCGTCATCCCCACGGTGGCGCAGCTGTGCCAGGGTGTGCCGGTCTTCCTCTGTCCCCTATCTCCCCTCCCGTCCTCTGCCCCAGGCCCCTCTCTCTGAGCCCCCTCGGCTGCTGCTGCCCCTGCCTGGCTAGTCCCTGCCTGGGACAGCCCATCCTTGGTGTCCTGCTGGGCTGGGGGTGCAGACCTGGGGAGGAAGCCCCGCGTCTCTCCTTGTCCCCAGCCAGCAGCAGCCCCAGGCATGAGGCAGGGGGCCTGCAGGGTTGCAGAGTGAGCAGAGGGTCTAGAACCTTCTGGGCGGTTTGTGGTCTGCTGTCCACTCTTTGCTCAGTTGCGCCTATGGGCAGGGGCTTTGGAGGGCTGAGGGGAGGCGGGAAGGCCGGAAGACAGCTGGCTGGGGACCTTCGGGGTGCAGGCTGGGTTCCCCTCTCCATGTGCAGAGCAGAGAGGCGGGGGTGGGGCAGGGCAGTGCCCTCAGGGTGGGCTTGCTGGTAGGACCGTGCCCCCAGCCCCTGCCTGGCCCCACGCTGGCTAAGAGCCCTGTGCTTGCAGGTGAGATGTGAGGGACCCGGCAGCCTTGCCCCCGTGGAGGGCGCCAGCCTGGGACCCACAGGGCTTCTGTTGGGGGCTCTAGGCGCGTCACATGGCGTCAGTTCCTGCGCCCACCCCCTTCCCCTTGGGTGGTGCTGGGTGGCTCAGGGCTCAGGACAGGTTGTTCCCGGCAGAGGTGGCCTTTCTGAGGGGCTCGGCATGGACTGGGGGTTACAGGAACGAGGCTGTGTTCAGACAGAGGCTGGACACTCTCTCGCGGGGAGTCGGGGTGGTGCCCTTGCTCTGCATGTGCTGGAGGGTGTGAGCGAGGGAGCAAGATCCTGCTCTCCCTTTTTTTGGAGACCTAGTTGGGAAAGGGGGTTGAGGAGGGATGTTTGGAGGTTGCCATGCCCCTGGCCGTCCCAGCTGGGCTTCTGGGAAATGCCACTAGGACCCAGGCGTCCTGGAGTCCAGACCCAACTCGTGCCGAGCTCTGGTCTGTGAGCAGGATGCCATTAGCAGATGTGGCCCCACCCGCTGGGCCTCGAGGAAGCTCTGGTATTGCCTCTCTCCCTGCCTGTCTCCCCAGCTCTCCTGTGGGTCCAGGCTGAGGCCCCGGGGCTCCCCCCGCCCCGTCCCCCTCAAAGCTCAGGCCACCTGGTCGCCCCCTCCATCAGGGCTTTGATCCCGGCCCCAGTTGGGTTTCAAAGCATCACTGTCGGTCGAGGTCTCATTCTTGGCGGCCTTTGAAGCTCCTCTGATTAATCTCCCCGTCCCATCCCCTCCACAGGCCGCCTCAGAACGCTGTCAGAGCAGCTACTGGAAAGCTGTGCCCCCGGGCGGTGCCCCCTTTGGCCTTGTCAGGGGTGCAGAGCCTTCCCTGCTCTGTTCTTGTCTTGGGTGCAGGGAGGCTGGGGGTGGCGTGGGGGCTCCCCCTGCAGCCCAGTCCAGACCTAGCAGCTGGGGCCTCAGAGCAGCAGCTCAGGGGTTCAGGGTGCCTGTGTCTTATCTGCCCCCACACCTGTGCCCCCCTCAGGGTTCCCAGAATCCCAGGGTGGTTTGGGGGGACCCTGGCTTTAGGCCTGTCAGATAATTGGAGTGTGGACTTTCCCAGGTGGTGGCAAGGCACCTGAGGTCCTGGCTGTGACCCCTCTTATCCTGGGACCCTCCCACAAAGCAACCTGGCTCTGAGAGCCAGCCCCCCATGCCCCTGGGCCTGTGCTTGCCTGGGGTGAGGGTCCTTGGCCACATACCTACCACATCCCTGTGAGCTGGGAGAGGACACCTGCTGCCCTCTTGGGGGCCTCCGCCCAGTGGTCCCCAAAGTGCCGCTGGCACCAGAGCCCCATCAGGTCTCAGCAAGAGGGTTCTGCAGCCTTGAGGCCATTGTCCTGCTGTCCTGCAGCTGCTGCAAGCACAGCTGGGTGACCAGGAGAGCTGGGGGCCTCCGGCTGGTCCCCACAGGGCGGTCACACGTGCATCTCGGGCCTGCTGCTGCCACGCTTCTTGTGCACACAGCCCGCCCGGAGGGGCCTGTCACCTGCTACCTCCATGGCTGGCCGGTCTGCAGCCTGCCACCAGCCCGGCCCCCCAGCAGTGTGCTCTCTCTGGCCACTTCCTGTCCCCCACCACTCTCTGCAGTCCCGTTTGTCCACCAGTGTGGGGAGTGGGGGGCAGACATGGTCACTCCTCAGAATAGGTTAGAAAGTGCCGGAATTCACCCTGTGGGAGCCCCGCTTCTAGAGGGCAGGAGGACCTGGTGGAAGGATGCTGGCTCTGCTGCAGTGGGGGGATTGGGTGGGGAGCAGGGGCCCTCTCTGTACCCCACCCCATGCCGACCTTGTGGGGGTGGGGTATTGATTTGCCAGCCAGCCTTGTCTGGTGCCCCCTTGGACTTGGACCTGGGGGCAGATGCCCCCCTCTAACTCCCTCCTCACTACACCTCTGAGTGGGGGGCTTGCCTCCCAGGCACAGCCCCCATGGGGGTCTCACGGAAATGGGGGCGTGTTCAGCCAACCCCACACAGCCCTGCCTGCTGCCTGGCCCCTAAGCCCCTCTTCGCCTTCTGCAGGCAAACCTCTTCCCAGCTGCCCTTGTGCACTTTGGAGCAGAAGAACCCACGGGTGAGTGCCCCCCTCACCCTGCTGCCCACATAGGTGCAGCCCCAGGCCAGGCCCTCTAGCTCACTGTGCACCTGGGTGGGCACCCTCAGTCCCTATGGAGCTGATCTGGGGTGGGAGGGTGGGACAGTGGCCCCAGGGGCTGAGGCTGGGGAGCAGGGTGGGCCTGGCTTGTGTCCCTGAGTCTGGCCTGGCTCTGTAGACCTCTACCTGGAACCCAAGCTGCTGGAACACACCATCTCCCCGTCCTCAGCTGATGTGCTGGTGGCCAGGTGAGGCCCGGGCTGGGGCGGCAGGGGGCAGGACATGGCCGCATCCTGACATTCCATCTCTTGCTCCAGGTGCATGGCCAGGGCTGCAGGGCCCCCGCCTTTGCTGCCAACCTCTGACTCAGAGCTCATCGAGTCTGAGCAAACCACCGAGGCAGCACTGCGTCCCCCTGAGGCCACCCCGGGGCCGGCCCAGCCCGTGCAGAGGAGCCTGGGCAAGGTACCCAAGTGGTTGAAATTGCCAGGTACCTGGTGGGGGGTTGGGGGGGTTGGGGGAGCCAGGGCAGGAGTCCAGGGCGGGCGCTCATCCTGTCTGTTTGCAGCCACCAAGAGGTGAGCCCCACGAGCCAGAGGAGCCCCACCAGCCCCGGGATTCCCACGCTGAGTGGAAATAAAGATGGTACACTTGTCGGGGTTCTCCTGTCCTTTCTGTGCTGGCTGGGGGACGGAGAACTCATCCCACCATTACTGGCCGGGATAGGGGTGTCCCAGCAGCTCTCCGAGGCCAGGGCCACTGCAGCCTGGCTGGAGTGGGGTGAGGACCCCCCAGGTGGCCGCTCAGGTCGGGCCCAGGACCCCTCTGTGCAACAACCTGGGCAGGTGATGACACCTAGGCCCCTTTGTCCCTGGTCTGAGGGAACAGAAGGCCTTCCCAGCCACCGTCAGCAGCTGCAGCATGGGGGAGGCTCGGCCCTGAACTCGAGTCCCCTTGCCAGCGCCACTCCTGTGGCTTCCACGTGCCGCGGGCAGCAGCACTCTGAGGCCCAGAAACGGGGAGGGGGTGGGTCATGGGTCAGTGTTCCCCTGTGCCTCCTGGTCCTTCCCCAGCACCAGGATGGTCTGACCCTCTGGGGCATACCCCCACAGCCCCTGGGTTATGACCACTCCCCAGAGGCAGCTTCCTTGGTGGCTCTGTGACAGGGAGAGGGGCAGTGTCCAGGGGAGCCGGCCGTGGGCGCGTCTCCAATTTCCTGGCTACTGAGGGACACACACACACATTCCGGTGGCCAGTCCGTCTCCACGAAGGCAGCCAGGAGAGGCTGAGGGCCTGAAGGAGGCTTGGAAGCAACTCCACTTGTGGAGACAAACGGCTTAGAGGCTGAGCCAGGAGGGACGCTGCTTTATGAGAACAGTTTACTGTCAGGGAGGCCCTGTCACAGACCAGCTCTGACGCCAGAGGGCAGAACCAGAGGGCGGGAAGAGTGCCAGGAGGAAGGAGGCAATACTCCTTCGTTCTGCGCAGATGGATGGTCAGCTTCCCCGGCCCATGTCGGTCCCTCACCACAGGAGCATGGACTCCCACCCACGCTGTGCGCCGGGTTCCCCGGGGCACGGTCTTCCTGGGACATCCTGCTCCCCAGGCTGTGGTGCGGCCCGGGTGGGAGGCTCTGGTCCTGGTGTCTGTAGAGCTGGGCTGATCAGCTCTAAGCCCCTCAGGCCCTCCCCTGCCGGAAACCAAAGGCCGCAGAAGACGACACCGTCTGGTCCTGGAGCAGGGCCGCCGCGGCCCAGGTGCAGGCAGTCCTCCAGCGCTAGGGAGTCCTCTAGAAGTCCAGGAGCTGGGGGGCAAACGGGGGCTCTCAGAGCCTCACTACCCACCCTATCGCCCCTAAGCACCTGTTCCCTGCCAGGCCCACCCAGATCGGGCACCCACATACCAGCTGGGGGAGCACTTTCTCCAGCTGGTCCACATCCACGCGGGGCAGATCCTCGGCCTGGGCCTGCCGGACCCCACGGACCGCCGCCTCTGCCATATATGGGGGATGTGAGAGGCTGGAGGAGCTCAGGGCCCAAGGGGGAGACCTGCACCCAGACCTTTCCAGGGCCTCAGCCCGGGGACCCCACCCACGCCCGTGTGCGCCCAGCTGGCAGTCCTTGGATGACAAGGTTGGCTCCCATAAAGGGGGGTTGCTGGGTGACATGGCACTCAGGTGCTTGTGGGGAGCTGGGGAAAACGGGTCCAAAGAAACCCTGGGTCGCGTCTGACAGGAGCCACGGCAGCTAACTCACCCACAACGAAGATCTTCAGCATCTCGGCCATGAGCTGCAGGGCGTCTGTGCTGACTGCGGGGGAGAGGGGGAGGGGTGTCGCCCAGGCCACGTCACTGGCCCGGGGGCAACCTCATCCCCCGTGGGGCACCCCACCCCCACCCTCCTCAGGCCTTGGCCAAAGCACTGGGCCTGTCCTGAAGACAGGGCCGTTGTCCCTGGACACTCGGTCCCCTGACCTGCCACCCGCTGGCGCTGAAGTACCTTTGGTCTTCTTGTCTCTGAAGTGTAGGTTCAGCAGCTTGCTCACCAGCTCCTGGAGGGGAGAGCGGGCGCTCAGCAGGCAGGTGGGCACCCAGACCGTGCTCCACTGGCCGGAACACCAGCCAGGCACGGAGTTGTGGACAGAAAGGGGTCGTGATTCCCAGCTCGGGTGCCTGTGTCAGTGGGACACTCTGGGGTGGCAAGGCACTGAGCGGACGGGGCTGTGCTGCGGGAAGTCCGGGGTCGTTCCTGAGGGACCTGTTAGTGAAGCTGGGAAGAAGAGGTTCTGATGTCTCGTATGGGGAAGTACCACGCAGGAGGACAAGAAACGAGATGCACGATGGACAACTGAGGGCAACGCAGTGCTGCCCACCTGCACCCCAGGGAGCGGGCAGGAACTGGAGAAAAGAGTCTAGAACAATCCTTTACCCCTTCAGGGCCCGTGGGGTGATGTTTGTCCAGCCAGAGCCTGAGGGGCCTGTCCCAGACGGAGTCCAAGTGGCTCCTGCAGGCTGGGGCACACTTCCCAGCCCCGTCAGCACCACTGGTACCAGACTCTGCTGGGCACCTGCCTCTGGGGGCCAACAACCGCAGCAGAGAATCACCTGCGCAGAGGTAGTGAGTCATGGCTGCCAGCAGGGTGGGCAGGAGGCCCACGACAGCGGGCATGTGGTAGGGTAGCCAGTGTGGCTGGAGTGGGGTCTGCCCGGGAGAGCCGCGAGGGGCTGGGCTGGAAGGTGTTCCAGCGCTCAGAGCGAGAAGCACTGCCATCCACACTTCAACGGGCCCCTTTGCTGCTATGTGGGTGGACAGGCAGGAGGCTGCTGTGGTCCCCAAGGACACCAGGCACAGAGGAGGGGTAGCCGAGGGCACCTGAGGAATGAGGGATGTGGGCTGAGATCCCCTGGGGCTTGGCCTGAGCCCTGCAGGGCCCCGGCTCCGCACGGGATGGGAGGGCTATGGCCAGCGCATGTATTTGGGGGGGGCCACGGAATGTGGGATTCACTTTGGGACGTGTTGGGTGTGAGATGTCTGAGCAACCCGGCAGGTGTGCGTTTGGAGCTGAGGAACAGCACTTGCAAAGGAGGTCGGAGCAGGAGTCTGGGAGGCGACAGCGAGTGGGTGTCATTTAAGGCCAGGGCAGGGACTGAAGAGCCCTCGCAGGAGCAGCGGGGAGGGGGCGGATGCGAACGCGGAGTGGGTGTGGTGCCGGGACTGGAGCTGGGGACCGGTGAGGTCCCACTGCATAACAGCTGGAGGGCAGAGGGGGCGGGAGCTGGCGAGGGGACGCGGGGCAAAAAACGTGTGTGCCCGGCCAGCACCGGTCATCCGGCAGCCAGTAGTCCCCGCCAGGCGGCTCCCTGCTCCCCACAGGTGGAAGCCCTCCGCCGCCGTCAAGCGCCGGTGGGTTTAGCGCCCCCTGCTGCCCACCCCCTGCTGCCCACCCCCTGCTGGGGACCAGAACCGGCTGAACCGCGGAGCTGCAGAGAGCAGGGCTGGAGGCCTGGAGGCGCTCAGCCTGTCCCACAGCTCGCGGGAGCCCAGGTGGCCCTGTGGGTGCTTGTCCGCTGATGACCACAGCTCTCGGCTAGGGCCCCGGGCCATGGACGCAGCACCCAGGCGCAGCTCCAGGGAGCTGGGAGGTCGGCCTGAGGGCGCCCCCCTCTCCGCAGGGCCTTTGCAGACCATCTCCATTTGCAGGTGGTGGTGGTCCCACGGATTTTAACAACCCCTGAAGTGGCCCAAGCGCTTGGGGACTTCTCCCTCTAGATCACTAACCCCTTCAATGCAGGGGCAAAGCCACGTTTGAGGATGACGAGGAATGGTTCAAGCGGGAAAGGAGACCAAAGACAGCTCCCGGCGCTCTTGTAGGCTGCAATCCTCCCCCAGAGACTGGTGGGTGCAAGAAGTGTGGATTGAGGGGCCAAGGCCCCTTCCCCACCTCAAGGGAACTCAGGGCCTCCTCACCTTCAGGGAGAGCCGCCAAAGGAGACTCAACCCTCACAGCCTGCACTGGGTGTGCGGGCAGCGGGCCCTCCGAACGAGGCGCCGCCCACGGCACACACACACACACACACACACACACACACACACACACGTGAGCGGCACACACTAGGCGCAAGGGTCAAGGGCAAGGTCTGGAGTCAGACTGCCTGGTTTGATCCTAGCCTTCTCTTGTGGCTTAGCAGCTCTGTGCCTCAGTTTCCCCATTGTTAAAAGGGGGATCATGCTAGTACCTAGCACAGGGTGGTGTGAACACGGTTAACGTGTCAGGTGCGCACGGCAGTGCCTGGCAGACATAGGTGCTGCATGCGTTACGAAGACTGAAAGGCCCTGTAAGACCCAAACACGCCAGCCGGCGCAAGGGCAAAGGAGGCTGCCTCCCGCGTAGTTTAGCTCCGCTGAGATGAGACGCGAAGCACCGGGCAGCCGCTGTCAACGCTAAAGAACCGGCGGAGCCATCCGCGTCAATCAGTGCGGGGTGGGTCCCGCCCGGCCCTGGCTCGGAGCGACACTCCCTCGTCCTAGGCCCTTCCCTTCCCTTAAAGGAGGCCTGGGGGTGCGAGGCGGGCAGGCCCCTCAAAGCGCCGACCTTCCCTGGCCTCTGGAACGGGCGTCCTTCCCAGCTTCCTTCCCGGCTGCGGGACACCCCCGCGGGCCCACCGCCCCCTCCCCACCAGGGCAGCGATTCCAGAAGGCGTCGGTGGGCAGCGCCGGGGCTGGGCCACCTGGGTCACGCGTGGGGTCGGGTCGCAGCCGCGAGGTGGGGCTGGCTTCTCCTCCGGGCCGCGGCTTCTCCCCCGGCCTCGGCCCCGACCCCCCGGCCCCCGCC